TGTTGGCACGCCATCTGACACATCGCTGGTGATTTCGGACTTGGGATCCTCTACGACCACCACTTCCACGGTTGTAACTTCAACAGTTACAACTTCTTCATCCTCGTTCACCTCTACGGCGAGCTCAAGCACAGTGCAGAGCCCTTGGATGCTGAATCGTTGTGCGAGCGACTAGCTTATCATGAGGACTACAACAGACTTAGGTTCATCACCCTCACTTCTTCCACTGTCCGAGCCCGACGATCTATGTTTTCACATACATGCACACACTTCAACTGCGACGTACTTAACCTGCAAGCATTACACGCTCACCATGAAGATCAGCAAGTCGCTTAGGCGACGACACTTACCACTACTTCCACGGTGCGTCGCGGCTGCAAGAGGTTTCTGCCAATTGTCCAGATCTAGGTTTAGCTTTGCGGAACAAGACACAAGCACCCTTGAATACATGAAACACATGCACATGGAATCGCTGTGACTCTTGCCGCGCGTCAGATCGTGCCAGATTTGCCTCTACCAAGGGTTACAGCAACAACCACTTTGTCATCCACGAAACACGGCTGCACGTTGTACATGACGATGGATCCCGTACACACCATTCGAAATTGCCAAGTTGAGGATATCATCAAGTACGACTTTGACCGCAACAACAACGCCCACAACGACGTCACTGACATCCACATCTGTGACAACTACTACAAGCACTCGTACAACAACCAGCGTCACCATCACAAGTAGCACCATCACTACTCAAACCAGCACGAGTGTCACAGTCACCTCCAGCACAGTCAGCAGCACCTTGACGACTGTTACCAGCAGCACCACTCAAACAAGCTCGAGCTCTTCGACAAGTCTCACCTCGACAAGTAGCACAAGAACCACTCAAACAACCACAAGTTTTACCGTCACGACCTCGACGCAAACCAGCCTCACTGTGACCTCGGTCACATCAACAGTAACAACGAGTACAAGCAGCACTGGCACAAGTACGAGCTCCACCTTCACATCTACAAGTCACTCAGCTACAACTATTTTGCCACTTGCTGAGGTTGCATGCTGTCCATGAAGGTTGGACTTGGCAGCATTCCCCGTACAATACAGGTGCCACAACAACGACAACCCGAAGGCACCCAGCTTGGCTAGATGCAGTGCCCTGGATAAAATCTGGCGTGAGGGTGTCCGGCTGATGGTATGATTTGGATGAAAGCTGTTTGATGCCATTCTTCCTGTTTCGATATCGGCCTTCATTGAAGGATAGGAGCAAAGTTGTACAGGAAAACGTGCTTCCACGAGTTTTTGCCGGAGTAAGTCACTATTTCGAGACAATTGTGCGCCCTGCGCGACTGAATTGTTGCATGACATCGGTGTAGAACTGGCACTGCAGCCCTCCTTTTAATGCAACGCTGTGACCCTATCACACGCTTTGTGCTACAGCGGTCTATGCTGCTTGTGCTTCTCGTTTTCGACGAGCGGTCCAAGTATACTCGGTTGTCCGCTTTGCAAGTGCTGAGGTGGGGATGGGATCTTGCACGAGCTGCATAGGTGTTGACTCGGCAGGGACATGCCATGTTCGCAACATAAATATGAGTGAATGTTGAACATGAATGGGCGCATGACTCGGACAAATGCCAAGCATGCTTCAAGAGGATTCTGCTTCAGTCATCGGTTCAATATTTGGCTGTTATGAGTGCGTTTCTTGCAGACAGATTTACTTCAAGCACATTGTTTTACTCGCCACTACTTGCCACCAGCGCAGTTGTCAGGGATGTATGTGTGTGTGTGTGTGTGTGTGTGTGTCTGTGTGAGAGTCTTTGTCAAGACATAGGAGCTTGCCGCGAACCCTTGTGTCCCATCTCACCTGCTTCCCGGGTCCGGCACTTCAGGGACAGATATTGTGGTCCTTTCCTCACCTTTTGAAATGTCCCAGGCGCTTGCCGCTGCAGATGCTGCCAGGGATGGGGCATTGGCAGCAAATCTGAGCGCTGCTGAAGCTGATGCTGCAGGCCTGGTAGATTTGATCTTATACATTACAATGCAGCAAGCTGATGCAAGCAGGCTTGCTAGGCATGCTAGGAATGCTAGCTGGCAGGAACTTTCTGTCAGTTGAGTTTCTGTCTTTTTGTCCAACAGGTATCGCGGCGGCAAGAAGTGCCGCGATTGCTGCTGCGCAGAGTGAGAACATCACCGGGGTGGTTGAGCTTGCCAGAAGCTCAGTGGGTCAATCAGGCTGCAGGAGAGACCAGGGTAGGGTTGGGATTGAAAACCAAATAAACAGTATAACTAGAACAAGCCCAAAGACACACCTGGGCGATCCCTTCTCGGTCTGCAGCAGCTCATTGAAGAAGCATCTTTTCACGCAAATTCTTTCCCAAACAGTTTTCACTGTTATCCTCCATCTCCGCGGGCCTAAACCAACCTCTAACATCCCTCGCCATTTGTTTCTTCCGGGGGTATCATGTTTTTGGCGTGTTCGTCTTTTCCCGCAAACCTCAAATGCCCCAACTAGTAGCCATCCCGAGATTTCTGGAAGGACAGTGTCAAACGAAGAGAATATGGATGAATCCACCTGCATGCGCAGAAGCAGCCGTGGTAAGGAATCGGCAAACATTCACGTTCATTTTAAAGCATTGATTGACCGAAAATGGCGACGTAGCAGGATAGCAATCCTGCCGGCTTTCTCCTTTGAGTAAGGAGGGCATTTTTGTTTGTTTTTGTTTCGTTTTTCACGGTGGGTGGCTTTTCGGCTTTTTGGCTTTTGTGGCTTTTACGTGGGTTTGTGTGGCTTTTGTGGCTTTTCATTTTGCATCATTTGCATTACCAGTTCCTCTCCAGGCTTTTGGTGGCTTTTTGGCTTTGGCTTTTCGCACCCTCTGCTTTCCCAGTTGGTTTTTGGCCTTGGCTTCCTGCTTCCTCAGCCTCACCAGTTCCTCTCTGGTGCCCCTCGCCCCCCTTTCGATTAAAATGCACTCCTAACTGAATCAGCTGTGGGCTGCCAGAGGTCTTGGCATACGGTAGCACCAGGCAGGCGCCGCTCCATAATGCCTGAAAGATGCTTAGCCAGATGAGGCAAGATGTTGCAAAACAAATCCCGAGCTCAAAAGCAACAACAACCTCATCCGCAGCTAGCCCAAGTTTGCCCATTATCTCGGGATGTTGGCTGGACATGCGGGGGATGTTGAAAACGATGCTGATGATGTTGACGGGCTAGTGTAAAATACGTACATTGCGTGAGAAAATGCTGTAAGATACAGCATTTTACTGGCCAAGACGGAAAAACAAAAAAAACAAAAACCCAAAGAAACAAGAAAACCAATTAAATCTCGACCCTTTGAGCAACTCCTTCCAAACCTCCCGACTTCCATGCAGAGCCCCTCACGTCATCCTCCCCTCTCATGCGAGGTAGTCTCCTTACCCACTGACTGTGCATCCCACTACGAAAGGCCCCAGGCCTCCGTGAGGTTGGACATTTGTCTCGCTTCGCTGTTGAACTTCGCCAGCCCCCATAAGCCTTGAAATTCATGCTCTCATTTGCTTTAGCTGACCAGCCATCCCTACGCTGCCCTCAGCCATGACGCGCGAGCACCGAAGTCCACAGCACAAAAAGTGCAGGTTGCTCAGTTGGCTGCTTCTCGTTCATCATGAACCTGTGCGTCAAAGTCCGGTGTTCCACAGTCAGAATTCCTTCACCTGCCTTCGCACGCATCTCGGCTCTGACCACATGGACCTCACCGTTTTTCCTCTGATCCGCGCGCCTCAGCGCCAGCTGCATTGCTCATCAGCTCAACTTGACAGGAACTCAGAGTCACAGCCGCTGACACTGCCATGCATGGCCGATGGGCAGAGCTTTTAAGTGCGCGCCCGCAAAACAGAGGGGTGTGCTGCCGATTGGATCTGAAATGCACATTTCCCCAGTGCCGTTCAATGAGAGGTGGAAGTCATTGCCAGTCTCTGCGACGCGATTGCCCGGCGCACGGCGCGAAATCGGTTTGCATGCTACTTGGGTTCAAATCCGTAGAACCCCGACTGGTAGATGTGTCAGTTTGCGTTTGGGTCTCTCTGAATTCAGGAGCCCTGCCTTTCTCAGATTCGGCTTTCAGCCTCATCCACGTGCAGTCGTTCAAAAGGGTGCAGGGTTTGAAATGTGGAACGCCGACCTAACTTCGAGGACATGATCGCTGTAGCAGGGTGTTGGCAGCACAGCAGTAGTAATCATGTTGTCATCAGCTGTGGTCAGCGTGTTTCGCAATGTGCGCGGCACTCAATTGTGTTTGCATGCTTGGCTGGAGCAGTTGCGTCAGGTTTGTGGCAATGCTTTTCACTAGCTTCTCCAGGCTTCTCTTGCCGGTGAAGCTGCAGCTTACTGCGCTTTGCGATACGGCCAGCCAGCTGGGGAAGTGGTGAAGACAGCGGCAGTGGCTGCTTCAGATCCACAGATTGCATTTGATGGCCCAGGGCAGGCTGAATTTGGCAATTCCCGTTTTCTGTATGAACAGATTCCTGCTGTGGCTGCCCAAGGAAGCTGCTGCCGAACTTGGTGGATCAGCCACGCAGCAGGCGCTGCAGCATGCTATGAAATGCTGGAAATTTCGCTGTTGTGGCATTCCTGCATCGCTCAAACACTCATACGCGTTGATCAATCAGTAGCACGCGTGGAAGGCCGCTGCAGCCGCGGCAGCGGCAGTGGCTGCAGGCACCCCAATTGGGCTGACAACGGAGGCTGGGTTAACATGGGGCTCATTGCTTTGACTTGTGCAACGGCAGGAAAGCATCCTGGCTGGCGCAGTGGGTGCTGGAGAGGTGGCCCAGAAGTCCGCGGCCAACAGTGGATCCACTGCCGCGCAGCAGGCCTTGAGATCAAGTGAGCCTAACATGCTAGCTCTTACTCCGAATAGCGGTTCTAGCAGCAAGCAAGTAGAAGAGCTCAACGGCTCCACTTGCTCTCTCCAAATTGCTCCGTGCGGCGGTTCAAGCAGATGGGTTTGAAAGCCTGGTTTGGCCAGGCAGCTGCTGCCGGTGCGGCAGCTGCTGCAACAGCAGCTGCTGGTGGACTTGATACTGCGCAGCAGGCTGTGAGTCAAGTTGCAACTTTGAATGCCCGTGCGAGAACAAGTCCGTGAGGATCATAGCCTGCTTCCCCAGGCAGTTGCTGCGGCGGATGCTGCAAAGGCTGCAGGCTTGGCAGCAGGTCTGAGCACTTCTGAAGCTGAAGCTGCAGGCAGGGGGGAGGTCGCATGCGATTCTGGGCGCCACTCCGGATTCAAGCCAGAGATGGAAGGGGGACGAGTGGTGGACATGCAGAAATGTCTGCCAGCCGGCTGCGGGGTTCTTGGGCCAACAGGGTTTGCGTGGGAGCAGGCATTTCCGCCGCGAGCGCTGCTGCCATTGCTGCTGGGCAGAGCCAGAACATCACGTCAGTAGCAGAACTCGCCGGACTCTTAGCTGTTCATCTTGCCAATGAAATGTGAGCGCCTTGCAGCAGACTGTATATGAATATTCACACATGCCGGTCATGTTCACCCCTAGCACTTTCTAAGGCTGCCTTGGCTGGAGAAGCTGCTGCGAATTCCTCCCAGCAATACGGACAGAGCCCCCAGGAAGTGACGAAGACGGCTGCAGTGGCTGCTTCGGATCCACAGACCGCATTGATTTTGTCTGTGCAGAGGGACCGGCTGAAGTCGAGCAGCCCTTCCTGCTTTCTTCTACATGATGCTAGAGTCTCTTTGGCTACTGGACGTAGGCGTGCCTTCAACTCTCGGACTGACGCCCCCCAAAACCAATAGCTTTCCGACAATGCCTTGCTTTGCTGCCTGAGGAAGCTGCCGGTGATCTTGGTGGATCAGCAGCGCAGCAGGCGCTGCAGCCAGCTTCCTGCTAGTCCAGTCTGGTGTTTGGCTGCCGGATGCAAATGCTTTAAAGTTGTTTGGCTCGCCGTGTTAACCGCGTGGTTGCTTCGCCTCGGCGCCTGCATGCCCGAACATGTGGAAGGCCGCTGCAGCCGCGGCAGCGGCAGTGGCTGCAGGTAGCCAAGTTGGGCTGACAACGGAGGCTGGGCCAACATGGGGCTCATTGCTTTGACTTGTGCAACGGCAGGAAAGCATCCTGGCTGGCGCAGTGGGTGCTGGAGAGGTGGCCCAGAAGTCCGCGGCCAACAGTGGATCCACTGCCGCGCAGCAGGCCTTGAGATCAAGTGAGCCTAACATGCTAGCTCTTACTCCGAATAGCGGTTCTAGCAGCAAGCAAGTAGAAGAGCTCAACGGCTCCACTTGCTCTCTCCAAATTGCTCCGTGCAGCGGTTCAAGCAGATGGGTTTGAAAGCCTGGTTTGGCCAGGCAGCTGCTGCCGGTGCGGCAGCTGCTGCAACAGCAGCTGCTGGTGGACTTGATACTGCGCAGCAGGCTGTGAGTCAAGTTGCAACTTTGAATGCCCGTGCGAGAACAAGTCCGTGAGGATCATAGCCTGCTTCCCCAGGCAGTTGCTGCGGCGGATGCTGCAAAGGCTGCAGGCTTGGCAGCAGGTCTGAGCACTTCTGAAGCTGAAGCTGCAGGCAGGGGGGAGGTCGCATGCGATTCTGGGCGCCACTCCGGATTCAAGCCAGAGATGGAAGGGGGACGAGTGGTGGACATGCAGAAATGTCTGCCAGCCGGCTGCGGGGTTCTTGGGCCAACAGGGTTTGCGTGGGAGCAGGAATTTCCGCCGCGAGCGCTGCTGCCATTGCTGCTGGGCAGAGCCAGAACATCACGTCAGTAGCAGAACTCGCCGGACTCTTAGCTGTTCATCTTGTCAATGAAATGTGAGCGCCCCGCAGCAGAATTTCTCTTACTCTTGCATGCATATGTATATATATATATATATGAACATATATATATATAGTACCAATCTTCAATCCAGGATGTGCTAGCACATGCTGGATTGCCCCAAGTATGGATTTGAAGAATCCAAAAAGGCAGACGTCAAATTGTGGATGTGCATCGCCTTGCATTTTGCTCAGGGCGGGAAACATGTTCTTTGAACACTTTTGCGCTTTTGTGGGACTTGAGGGCTGGCCAGGATGGACGATTCTCAAGAAGTGGTTGGGAATGGGACTATGTGGACTTTTGAATATCCGGCCTTCGATCGAGGGCAACATGATCTGAGCGAATGCTGAGAACACCGCGTTTTTATAGCATTTTATCCCAAGTACAAGATCTATGTTTTAAAACATGTATCTGTTATTGGCTTGGCTCAGTTCTTGCGTAAAACCACATGGAGTTAGAGAAGGACAATAGCCCTTATGAAATTGAGTTTGACTCCGGCTTGATCTGGCCATGAAATGCGCAAGAACCTGCAACCGGTTCAAGTTGAATTCCATTTGAGCTAAATCATTTTAAATTGGATATCCTGCCGTAATTTGAATTTCAATAGTTGTGATTGACAATGATTGAATCGTATTTGACAAATACCACCCAACTGAGATATCTGCTTTGCCAATTTGTTTTGAACACACTTGGTTAGAACGTGTATGGACATATGCACATAGGTTTGAATCAACCTGTAAATGCAATTGCGCAAGGACATGACGCGCTTTTGTTTTCTTGATTTGGATGTCAGTTGCAAGCAGGATTGGATTCATTACCCCCAAGTTGATGGTTTGCTGAATTTCCTTGTCAAGCGAAAATAACAACACCAAATCATAGAGCTGTTACAGGCACGATGAGGCTGAAGAATTGTTTTTTGAGCTGGAAAATGCACTTTGCATACTCCAATGTGACTTTACGTGCACTTTTCGCACGCCAATGTGACTTCCAAGCTTCTGAAGTAGGAACTCCTGTTAAACGTTGAGCTTAAAATCTGCTTAGTTAGACTTTGCGTGGAGTTGCGTGTCCTGTCAATTCAGGTCAGAGCCAGTCTGGCCAAAAAACTGAGTTCTGGCCAGAAACCTGAGTATTTCACGGGGGGGGGGGGGGGTAGCATATATATATATAGATATATGAATATGAATATATATATACATATATATGAATATATACACATATATGAATATATATATATATATATATATATATATATATAGATAAGTATGTTCCACTCCCCAGGCCACCAACCCCCCCCGCCCCAACCACAAGCCCCCGGACCGCCACACACCCCGCTGCGATCCCCAGACCCACTCCTCGAGCCCCTGAACTTGCACCCTTGCATCCCAACACGTAGGACAACTCAACCCACAACCAACCCCAACCCTAAACCAATCCTAAACCAATCCTACACTTCTAACCCTTGACCCTAACCCTAAACTAACCCTAAATCAACCTGAAAAGCCCACTGTAAACCAACCCGTAAGCAACCCTACACCAACCCTAAACCTCATCCCTAAGCCAACCCTAAACCCACCCTAAACCCGCCTTAAACCACCCTAAACAAACCCAAACCACCCACCCAACCCCCCCAATTTGCAGGGGGGGGAGGGGGGGGGTCCACGGCCTGGAACATATATATATATATATATGTATGCAACCCCCCGGATGGATCTACCTTTTTGCTGTTTGAAGGCTACCTTGGAGATGGAATGCAGTTGTTTTAGTTGGAATGCCCCATGCGACTTGACCGGCATTACACCCTAAGCAAGGAAATCCTCTTCAAATCTAGTTTGGAATAAGAAGTCCAATTCTGTGTTTTCTTTGAAAGGAAATCCTAGTTACATGATCTTTGAAGTTAGACATTCTACTGGAATTGCTTCTTTGTTAGATTCCAGTTAATTCTAAATAGAAAGTGGAGAAACAATATTTCGGGAAAGGACGGTCTCTGTAGATTAATATATATGTTTGAAGAAAGAATCCCAATTCAACATGGTCTTTAAACATGGAAATCCCAGTCAAAGTCTAGACACTATATTACGTGTTGTTCACAATAATTCCTATGTAATTCATCCTTGAAAAAACATCCTTTTGAACCTCAAAACTGAAATACACCGTCTTTTGAACAACCAATGTAGATTCTCTTTAAAACTAGAACATCTAATAGACTTATGTCCTTATTAAACTCTGTTCAAATTTTGCCAACAAATCAACCTGTTTGAACATCTAGGTTTAAATAATAATGTTTGAATATAGATCTTGTTCGCCAAGGACATCCTATTTAACTTCTCTTTAAACTAGAAACTCTACTAGGGTTTGTTTCTTGTTAAATTCCATTTCAGTTCTAATTCAACAATTGAACCAACACAATGTTAGAAAAATATACCCTTTAAAATCATCTTTCAAATCTATTTTGAGACAGACAATAATTATAATTGGCTGTTTGATTGTTTAGTGCTTATCGAATACTTTGAATTGCAAGCAATACAACAATAAACACAGCAACACACAGTGAGTTTATTTGAACAAAGAACATGTTTCCAATGACATTCATTGAACAAACATCTACGAGAAATAAGTCCGATTCAGAAGTTGCAAAACTGCAGCTGTGTTGGAGCCAATGGCCCAAAAGTGAGAGCGTAAAAAAGTAAAACTGTGGAGCCAATGGCCCAAAAATAACAAGAGTAAGTTTCTGGAGCCAGAGATCCAAAAGTAAACAAGTAAAGAAGTAAAAGTAAATGTCTGGAGCCAATGCGCCAAACGTAAAACAGTAAAAAATAGCAAAGTAAAAAGCAAAACAAACAATAAAAAGTAAAAAGCAAAAAAAGAGTAAACAAGTAAAATAGCAAAAAGTAAGAAAGTAAAAACATTAAACAGTAAAAGCAAACGGTAAAAAACAGAAACACACACGTAAAACAAACCAGCCCATGGCCTGAAGTAAAATGCTTTGACCATGTTTTTTTGGTACTTTTTTTTAATAATACTTGTTTTCTTTTTTTTTGTACTTTTTTATCATTAAGTTTTTGTTTTTTGTTTTTGGGTCATTTAGTCCAGAGTTTTACCTTAAAAAAAAAAAAAAACAACAACTTTTGGGCTATTGGCTCCATCATTTTACTTCTTTGTGTTTTTAGTTTTGCGCCAATGGATCCAACATAGCTGTTGTTTTGCATCTTCTGACCAAACCTCAGAGTAGAAATAGGACAGAGGTGGATCCAAACCGACTGGATTCAAGATCCCTGGAACAGTTTGGCCTAAAGCTTTCAGACATGCGCTTCGTTTCGCTGTTTTCTCCAAAGCCCCAAAAACGGCAGAAAGCACTGCAAATACCAGTGAATTCTGAAGGACGGTATATCCACGCGGGGGTACCATATATATATATATATATATGGTACCCCCCCCCCAGTACCCAGGTGTTGTTGCATCATGTATCAAAACCATTGATATTTACAGTGTATTTTGATTGAACTCATGCATTCTCTGCAAGGCCATTTTGTGGACCAAAAAAACCAAAAAACCAAAAACACAAAAAACCAAAAAACCAAAAACCAAAAAACCAAAAAAACCAAAGAACCAAAAAAAAACCAAAAAAAAACAAAAAACCAATCCTAGCCCCCACCATGGCTGGGATTCTTTGTTTTTTTTTTGTTTTTTGTTTTTTTGGTTTTTTGGTCCAGGGAAATGTTGCGCAACAAATTCCAAATGTTGCGCAACATTTGTGGAGCATGAGAGGATATGTGAACCTTTGTGAAAGAAGGCATGTTCTGGGTGAGAGGATATGTGAATTGTCTGTAGAGAAGAGTTATTAAAAAAATCATGTTTTATGTGAGATGGTATGTGAGTCTTTGTGGAAGAGTCAGGGTTACAGTGATTCAAAAAAGTACAGCAAAAGACAGTAAATATCATGTAAAAAAACATTTATGTAACACAAACTGTCCCAGCCATAGCCTGGCTTTATTCTACACAGGGTTCACTTTCCTTGGCAACTCTTTCACATATGCTGCCTTTGTTTTATTGAAAGAAAACTTGTCAAAAGACATGTGTTGGGTGAGAGGATGCGTGAATTTTCTGTGGAAGAGTCTTTGAAACAAGGCATGGTTTGTGTGGGAAGATATGTGAGTTATCTGTGGAAGAGCCTTTGAAAGAAGGCATGGTTTGTGTGGGAAGATATGTGAATTATTTGTGGAAGAGCCTTTGAAAGAAGGCATGGTTTGTGTGGGAAGATATGTGAATTGAATTTTGTGTGGAAGAGCCATTGAAAAAGGGCATGGGCTTGGTGAGAGGACATGTGATTCCTTGTGAAAGAAGGCATGCAAAAAGACATGTTTTGGGTGAGAGGATAAAAGAATTGTCTGTAGAGAAGAGTTATTGAAAAGACATGCTTTGTGTGAGATGATATGTGAATTTCTGTGGAAGAGTCTTTGAAAGAAGGCATGGTTTGTGTGGGAAGATATGTGGGTTTTCTGTGGAAGAGCCTTTGAAAAATGGCATGTTTTGGTGAGAGGATATGTGAACCTTTGTGAAAGAAGGCATGTTCTGGGTGAGAGGATTTATGTGAATTTTCTGTAGAGAAGAGTTAATGAAAAAGACATGTTTTATGTGAGATGGTATGTGAGTCTTTGTGGAAGAGTCAGGGTTACAGTGATTCATAAAAGGTACAGCAAAAGACAGTAAATATCATGTAAAACCACCATGTGTGTAACACAAACTGTCCCAG